ATATGAAGATGGATCTCAGTGCTCTAGTACATAAAATTTTAAAAAGGTTAACGTGCTGGTACAGCAAGTAGTTAGGAAAGCTTTTAGGTTCATTTTGCAGGAAATTGAATACAAAAGTTGAGATGTTATGCATCTGGAGTAGTGTGTACTGCGTTGGTCTTCTGTAATAATTTGTTCATTGGATATGGGTGTCACTAGCTGTATTGGCTATCCTAACTGTCCCTACAGCTAGTGGTGGTGTACTGTCATCTTAAATTGTTGCAGTCCTTGTGGTGTAGAGTTATACCATAGTGCTATTTGGAAGGGAGTTCCAGGGTTTTGATCCAGCGACAGTAAAGGAACAGTGATGTACTTCCAAATCAGGATGGTGTACGTTTTAGATGGGAGAACACAGATGTTCCTGTTTATCTGCTGTTCTCAATCTTCACATAGTAAAGGTCACAGATTTGGAAGGTACTGCTGGTGGAGATTTGGCGAATTACAAAACATCTTGTAGATTGTACACATGGCTATGACTATGCATCAGTGCTGGAGGGAGTGAATGTTAAAGATGGTGGATGGGCTGCCAGCAATTCAGGATAGCATCAAGCTTCTTGCATGTTCTTGGGGCTGCACTCATCCAGGCAAGTGGAGAGTATTCCATCACACTCCTAACTTGTGCCTTTTAGATGGTTGATAGGCTTTGATGAGACAGGTGGGGAGCTTATCCCCACAGAATTCTTAGCCACGGACCAGTTTATAACGAAACAGCTGAGCAGGCTAAGCTTGTAACTGCTGGAGCTTAGAAGAGTAAGAAACTGAAACACGCAAGATCCTGAGGGTGTTTGACAAGTGAATGTGGAAAGGATGTTTTATTGTGGATGCAGAATCTAGAAATAGGGGTCACTGTTTAAAGATAGGGAATCACCCATTTAGGTCAGGGATAAGGAGAAATTTTCTCAGAGTTAAAAATTTTTGCAACTCTTTTCTCAAATGCAGTGGAAGTAGAGTTTTTGAATATTAAGGCAGAGGTACGTAGGTTCTTGATAAAGAAGTGGGGAAAGCATTATGGGGTGGACAGGAATGTGGACTAACCAGATCAGCCATGATCTTATTGAAGGGGTGGTTCAAGGGGCTGAGTGGCCTACATCAACTCCTAATTCAAAACCTGGTGTATAAATCCTTTATCTCATAGCTTGTAGTAAGACAGGTGATGAAGCAGACAAATATTCTGCATTTAAAGGGCAAAATACTAACTGGATTGGGAGGATTCAGCTCCTGTGGGATACCGTCAAAATGAGGATAGAATTGAATTCAAAATGTATCAGTTTGTAGGATTGTTTCGCATTGATAGGACCTGCAGGGTGTTATTCAGTTTTTTCAGCTGAGGTACTCTCATATGCTTGTGACTTCAAACGCAATTCAATAAAATTAGTTCAAGAACTTTATTAATCAAATCTGTTCGTCAGTATTTTTCTATTCAGAACCCTCATAACAATTCAAATCCGACAATTCCTGTCTCTCATTGCTCCATCACGCTCATTCGATCTGTCCCTCACGTCCATCATTCCCCAAGTAAAAACCAAAAGAACTGCGGATGC